TCTCCCACAAATTTGCGAGCAAGTGTGCTGCGCACAATTCTAAGCGTGGCACCGACTTTGTTTTCAGAGGCGCTACCTTCGACTTTGTAGTCAGAAAATTCACATTTATGCTCTCACTCAATTCGGAGGTAAATGCAGCACCAATAAGCCCTTGCCGATGCGTCAGCAAAGCCATGAACCTGGCATTTTGTGCCTTTGCTGACGCCGACATATCGGCGAATGCGTATCGCCTCAATTTCATGAAATGAAATGGTGGGGGCTATGTCTACCGACATGTTCGATATCCAAATAAGCCCCAACGTCTTCGTTTCCTCCTGATGGCCGATCACCATTTCGTCAGAAGGCGACGCTCTAAATGTTTCACAATTTGATGTCCATTTCGTTAGAGTGAAACCGAACTATTCAAGCACTGAAACTGGCTCATTTCTTAGCATTCGCAATTCTTCCACTGTATCTGCTCCAGATACTACATCATCTACGTAGAAATCGCTGGCAAGCGACTTTGATGCCAAAGGATGCGAAATTGCATGAAGCTCACTCAGGTACTTTAAGCAACGAATTGCCAGAAAAGGTGCCGAAGCAGTACCGTATGTTACCGAATTTAAATGATACAATTGGAGTGGTTCAGTGGAGTTGCTTCTCCAAAAAATAAGCTGGAAATTGCGATGCGATTCATTGATTTCGACCTGCCGGTACATTTTTGCAATGTCCGCCGACAACGCAAATACATGACTGTATGGTTAGGCCAACCATCAGAATGTCATTTAAAGACAATGGTGACGACGTCTTGCTCGACGCGTCAAAAATAACTCTCAACTTGGTTGATGTGCTTTGTGGTCTTAGTACGCATTGGTACGGTATAAAATAATGCGGCTCTCTCGGTACACTGTTCTAAATGGCACTCATATGGCCCAACGAAATGTATTCCTTCATGAAGGTGATGTACATAGATTGTGTGTCAGGCTGTTTTGCCATTCTCCTTTCCAAAGCCAAGAACCACCTTAGGGCTGTCTCATATGAATTTCTGAGTCCTTTAGGGCTGGATTTGAATGGCAACGATAAAGTCAGCCTGCCCGAGGGTAAACGATTAACCGATTAACACTTGTTCTGGGTGTACAAACTCTGATGATTTACGGATGAGACCATCTAATTCCTGACTATCTGGATTTGACAAAGAGCTTTGATTTAAGCTCACGAGCGATGTTGACGGCAGCTCAGTTGACCCCGCAGAACGGCAACGGCCAGCTACAATCCAGCCAAATGCCGTAGATTGCGAAGCCGGTGAGTCTCTGGTACCTTTTATTTGCCCTTCTCGTAACAAATAAAAAAAATGCATCTGCTCCAAGTAGCAGATTTATGCGTTGCGGCCGATGGAATTGCGGATCTTCCAATTCACAGCCGTTAGGCACGTCAACGTCTACTACCAGTTTCTCAGGCTGGTACGAAGAAATGTTATTCAATATTGCAAAGTCTGCCGTCAGTTCAAATTTGTCAATTCAAGAAGCTATAGAAGTTTGAACGATATGACGTACTTAAGACTTTTGTTTGCCTATGCCTAATAAACAAATGTCTTAAGCTTTAGAACTCTGGGCAAGTCCTCGGTCATAAAATTGACCTGCGAACCAGAGTCTAAAAGTGCCCTAGCTAATTGATAGGACCCTGACTGGTCCATTATCTTGACAATTGCTGTCGCCAAAATTACTTGGGTAGTCACTGTCTCGACGTGGTTCTCCTGCATGTGCAAGATCATGTGATGCGGCTTCGAACAGACTCTTCAACAACCAGACTTGCAGTCGTATGACCTTTTCGCAAACAGTTAATGCACAACTGGACCCTTTTTACAAATTTGAAAAGCTCGTCTCTAGTAATCGCTGAGAATTGAGGACATGCTTGTATGTAGTGGTCATTCGACTGACAAGGGTCAATGGTTGACTTGGCTGTGCTACTGCCAACGCCGTTTTACCATTCCTTTTTGACCCATATGAATTTGGCTTCTTAGGCCGGCCAGGCTGCAGATAGATGCTGGTAGCGTTTATTAATAGTGGTTTCGCATTCTACCCAAGATGGAAGTTGACTGTAGTCGAGGTGCCCCTCCCTCCCATTTGAATCTATTGATGGAGTCTACTTTACCCATAACCAAATGTATGAGTATGGCGTTTGCTATTTGCTTCTCATCACTCAAAAACATCAGCGATCCATAAATTGCCCTTACATTATCTATTAAGGAGCGCAAAGATGAAGCCGAAGGACTTTGCATTTTGGGCAAGTCGAACAGCTTGGAAACGCTGTCGAAAACAATTAGGCAACTATTGTCATAAACTCGTTTTAGTGCAGCTAGCGCCCTTTGGATAATTGGCATCAGTCACTTGACGCCATATTTATGTTATGAACAGGGCCGCTTCCTTCCTTGTTATGCGACAAAACGGAGGACCAAACAGCCCTAACGTTTGCACGCAAAACTATGTAATATGTAAAGAACTTAGAATATTGGTACATAATACCGAAATGGCTGCACTTGGTGCGCAAAGCGATATAATGGACCAAGACCTTTGCTCTATAATCGGGTCCTCGTGCATGTTGAAATTGTTGGGAACTTGTCGGAGTGGATTCTCTGGGATACGACCAGCATACAGTCCGTTCTTTGACTTGTCCATCCAACACACCCACACTACATAAGACAATAGAATCATTGCCTCTTTGGTGGTTGACAGAAAAAATTAATCATGAAATTTCAGAAATAGCAATTAGACAGATAGACAGACAGACAACAGCCTAGCACCGATATAGCTACAGGTTGTTGTTGTAGCCTCGCCTCATGACCCATACAGTAGAGTGGATTTCACGCAGGCATTGAAAATTCGGAGAAAAAAAATAAAACAAACTTGCACAGCGTACACACATAAGGCATCTTTGTGCAAAATTTGGTGTCTCTATCTCTGAGATCCAGGTGTTCATACGGACAGACGGACAGACACACAGACAGACAGGGCTAGATCGACTCGTCTCGTCATGCTGATGAAGAATATATATACTTTGTGGGGTTTGCCACGCCTCCTTCTGCCTGTTACATTTTCAGCTCCCGCAAACCTAATATACTCTTGTATATTTTATGTACAGAGTATAAAAATGTATACACTGTATACTATTGAAGAAAGCGCAGGCGCAACGGTTTAACTTATGTATACACAAGTATCTATATATTTATGTATGTATGTTGGCAAATATATAAGTTTATGTATGTATGTGGTTAAATTGCATATATGCTTGTATGTTCGACCAAATGAAATTATGCTCTCATGTACCCACAAATATGTATTCAATTTTATTTATTCAAAGGGTTTACTCCATGCACATACATATATGGTATATGGTAACAACAAATCGAATGCCAACGTTTAAATTGCGGCCCAGTCATGCGACAGCATTGAACGCATACACTCACATACATGTGTGCCTTTATAGACAATTAACATATGGATTTACATATGTATGTGCCAAGTCCAATCATACAGATTTGGCCACTATTTAATTTGCACTAGTTACCTGTGTATAACTTCCCTGAGTGTTTCTGCAATGCATCGCCAATTGGCTGTTAGAGAGTCCAAACCCAATATCCAGAACACAACCAGATGGCAGCACCGTCAACGATAAGTCCACCCGGGGGCGCCAAAATGATCGCTCAGATCAAGCAAAAGAACAAATGGTCCTCGTCGCGACGGTCCAAACAAAATGCATGTATATAAGTCGATTATAGACTCATACACAATTTAGCATTGACTTGCACTGAAACGCAGCAAAAGAAAGAATGCGAACGAACTGCACTAATCGGCTTCCAATTTATAAGTGTTTATTGCTAGCATACGAATAACAAATTTGGGGACTTTATGTCAATAGCGAGAGAGAACTAATTTACAGCTGTGACCTTAAAATGAGCGTACTTGCAATTATTGTTTACAAAAACTTAAATCAATAATTCAAATGACTTAAAACTATAATTCAAATGACTTAATCTAATCTTAAGTAACTCACCCCGTCTGTTGCTGTCAGTGCTGCCCCATATAGAATCGATCTTCCTCCTATAATCTTGGCTCCTTGGTAGACTTCTCCCAGGGATGCAATCACCTTCTCCAAGGGATGCAATCACCTTTTTATAGGCCTCAACCGATGGCAAGCGAAGGCCTTACCCCTCACATTATGGCAGAGGTCCGCCAGAAAACGATTTTGCAGCTCGTTTCCACCCATAACCACATGTGGCGGAGGATCAGACCCTCTTTCTGCCCATGTCTAGGATACCAACTAAGATATTATTCCTTGTCACCTTAGTGAAGTAGCGATAAGAGTCTTTCTTTTTTTTTTGAAATTTTTAAAATTTCTAAATAGCCTTTTTTTCATATTTCCATAACCATTTTCAATGGATTCTGATAAGCATTGTTCGAAAGTATCAAAATTGATCATTGCTCAATTAAGTGCATACTATTTGTGTTAAATATTTCAACGTTAAGAATTACATGATTATGTTTTGTTGTGTACATGGATTTGATAAGATATATTGAGAGAATAAAAATAAAAAATTTGGATTCATGTGATTTGCTAATAACTTTTTTCGGCGGTCCAACACTCAATGGTTGCAAACATGTACTCATTTCTGCACTGTGTAGACACGTACTCTGTGGGGTCTGCTACGCCTCCTTCTGTGTGCTACATACACTCCCACCATATTACCCTTTGGGTACAAGGTATAATGATCAACACATAGAGACATTTGTTTGTGTGCATTTGTAATAACATCCGCTTAAACCGGGATAAGTCTATTCGTGTGCGAAGCAACAACAAGAGCTGTGGACAGAGCTCAGGTGATAAATATCTTGTGATGAAACGTCGACCCTGCTATAGCAAAATTGTACCTTCAAGCAAATTAAACCTTAATCCGAATTATATTGTAGAAACCTTATAAAGTTTAAATAATTAATGAAAAATAATAAATTGTCATCTTATTTTAGTTCCACCTTCATCTCCTATAGCTTCAGTTACAAGTACTTCGACCAATTCCGTGTCTATTCAATGGAGGGTTGAGGATATGGGCGGTTCACCTTTAAAAGGATTTACACTAAATTACAGACACGAAAGCAGCGTATGGAAGGAGATTCAAATAGATAGACGCGTAAATTCTTTTGTTTTAGAAAACCTGAGGTGTGGCACTCAATACCAACTAACAATCAACACATTTAATAAGATAGGCACAAGTGAAACTAGTTCAATCGTTACAACAAAAACAAAAGGTAAATATTTGGAGCACTCCTAATCGACCTTAATGAAATTGATTATTTTTTAGGAAATATTCCTGTTGCACCGTATAACAATAGTTTTATCCGCCCCAATGTAACATCAGCTTTATTGGAGCTATCTTCTTGGCAGGATGGTGGATGTCCGATCACACATTTTAGTATCGAATTCAAGCTGTATGGATCTACAGACGATTGGATAATAGTTTCAAATAGAATTGAATTAAACGTTAGCATAGAAATATTTATTTTAATATACTTTTTAAAAGCAGTTTCAAACAATTTTAGACTCGTTATAATATTGGAGACCTCGAACCGCATACAGCATATAATTTGCGAATTACGGCCCATAACAACGCAGGATCAGCATCTAAACAGTTTTTCCTCGAAACCTTAAATTTGATGGGGTTACCTGGAGGCCTAGATAGAAATGATACACCAAAATCTGAATCTGTTTTAAAAGACGCACACCTTATCGCTTTAATAGTAACGTCAATTTTTGGAACAATTCTAGCCCTTATTGGTGCTTTAATTTGCTTCAAGAATTGTAAATTGATCTTTTAGGTGCACAAGAAAATATATTTACAATTATATTTTTTAGATCCACGAAATATATTCTCACGAAGCACTGATCCATCAATAACCCTCTATGGTGCAGAAGGAAAGGATATTCAACATAGTGAGCATTTCTATGGTACTGTACACAAATCTTGCCAGCAATATCCACTGGAATCGGTTGCTGAACGTGATCGTATACCAGAATTTTCCGAAGATATTTATCCTTATGCTACGTTTAATTTGCCAGATCATCAAAGCCAATCTGGAAACATTTCCCTAAGCCGTAAAGGGAACCAATCAAAATTTGACCCACACTGTGGAGGAGATGGCAGTCTGTGCAGCTCGAGTGGTGGCATTTGCTCAAATCCTCATCCTAGAAATGTTGGAAGTGTAGCATCTAGTGAGTTAAATAAAAGGAGCTCTGAAGAAAGACACCAACGTCCCCCAAAAGTCTTAAAATCAGAGTCAGAAGAGTATGATAGTTTGAACAGTGAAAGCGATCTCAGTGGAGAGTGCCGGGAAGGAGGTAGAAGTGGATGCAAGCCCAGCGTGATTAATGAAGAAACGTTATCAGGTTCGTATGTACATAAGCTATTAATAACTAAGGAGTATTTTTAAAAAATATTATTTTCTTGTAATCCTGTGAAACTAATTATTATTAACCATCTCAGGCGGATGAGGTAAAGTTGTGCCTCAATTCAATTTGAATCATTATTTGTATACCCTGTACCCGTAGGGTAAAAAGGGTATATTAGGTTTGTGCAAAATATGCAATAGGCAGAAGGAAGCATCTTCGACCCCATAAAGTATATATATATTCTGAATCAGCACGACTATAGAAATCGATCTAGACATGTTCGTCCGTCCGTCCGTCTATCCGTCTGCAAGGATCTCAGAAACTATAAGAGCTGGAATAACCAAAGATGGTCTCCAGATTCTCCTAGGTCCGAGAAAGGACAAGTTTATTGTATTTTTTGGAATTTTCTACCCCTTCCTTCGCTGCAGAATTTCGTCAATACTGTCCACAATTCAAAAGCTACATAAACCAAACTTTGCATACGGTGACGAAAGTTTGTCAGGGCACAGAGTATTTCACTGTCGGGCATACTCGACTGCAGCGTTCTCTCTTGTTATACCATGTACCCGTAGGGTAAAAAGGGTATATTAGTTTTGTGCAAAGAATGTAACAGGCAGAAGGAAGCATCTCCGACCCCATAAAGTATATACTATATATTCTTTATGTGGCATATTTATGCAGGATTGTGTGGTGTGGTTTCGAGCAAACTCTACATCCAACTGATTTGCACACTTTCGTTGTATTAAAAATTGGGTACACGACTGTACGTAATGCTTATTCGACTGGAAGCTGAGCCAGTGGTAGCTGAACAAGTGGTAGTGAAACTTTACTACCTTTTTTTGCATAATTGGCACAACTTGTTTGACTACGGGCAGAAGACGAATCTTCACGGACAACTGCTGATAACGTCTATTAATCTTTCCAAGACGGAAGACGGCTGTAGTCAAGGCTTTCCTCCCACTTTGAACGTGTAGTGTGGTCAACTTTGCTCATAACCAAATGTATGAGCATTAAGTTTGAAATTTGTTTATCATTGCCTAACGACAACAACAACTCGTAGCTGGCGCGAACATTATCAATCTATGAACGCAACGACACAGCTGACGCGCTTTGCAACTTGGGCAAATCAAAAAGTTTGGCAATGCTATCGAATACGATAAGGCAACTATTATCGTACACGCGCTTAAGCGCTGCAAGCGCTTTATGATAATTCTCCTCGGTTACCTGATAGGCCTTCACGGTACCCAGCGCTTCTCTTTCTAGGAATGAAAGCAGGTGGTTAAACTTTTCAATATTGGACAAAGATGGATCGTCGTCGACCAAGCTCTCAAAAAGTCCAATGAAGTTTTTATAATCGGAATAGTTTCCGCTAAATCTCGGCAGATATGGTCCACTCATTGTGGAATTGGCTAGACTATCCCTATGGAGTTTTGCCCGTTCACCTCTTCTCATGAGCAATGCCTTTGCTGTGACGCACAGACTTTCAAAGTCTGCTCTAGAAGCTAAAGAAGGATTTATGTTGTCGAGCTCTTCCTCTTCAACCTCGAATGGTCCGATGACTGGGGTACTCTGAATAGAGCGTTTAATGCGTTCAATGTCGCGAACCACATTATCATGCGACTCTAGCAAGCAGTCGGCTTTACTAGAACTAGACTCGTCTAGTTCTCTGCTCTGTACTTGCTTGCACCTTTTACTAGGCATCTTGATTCTTTATTATTTAATGCGGTGTATAGTTAAAATTTAATAACAGCTGGCGATTATCAGGTCTAACGCTTATATACTAATGGACAGGTACAATGGCTAGTGTATTAGACCGGCACGCCTTGAGTTAGCTGCCTACAATTGTGGACAAACTCAAACATGTGCCTAATATATTTGTCCGGCACTGTTCTATTAGTTAGCGCAGCTGATCGACGCAAAGCAAACACAACTTCAATAACTTGAACTAATATTTGAGTTATCAAATGTTGGCAGCGCAGCTACAATAGAGTAAATATTCGGCAGCGACGCAGGCGCTAGCAGAACAAAGATCGACGGCTGTCGCAACTGGACGATCCTGCAACCAGGCAACTGGCTTCTTTAAGGCCGAAATAGTAACTGCTTCTTCAAAAACGAAATGGTAACAAATTGCAGCAGCCTAATTAAATCTATGCAGAAGGCAAATGATCAAACCAAAGAACAAACGAAAAGTAGCTGAGTGTGCACAAACAAACAAGCGTGGTGTGATAACAACTTTAAAAAACACTCATGCTGCGCAGAGCAATGCTACTCAAACATTAAGTTAAAATTTATGATGCGTTAGAGCACCAAAGTCTGCAGGATCTTCTGAAATTGGAAACAACGGTCTGGAATTAATGATGGCCGAGATTGCGCATACAAGAGTGCGCAACGCATCAAAACTAAGTTGACATAATCCAACGATGCGGTAGAAGTATTTTGCCGTCTTCACAGCCGCTTCATACAATCCACTAAAGTGCGGGGAGCGCGGAGGAATGAACGTCCATTCTATGTTGTCGATCAGACAAAACTGCTGCACTGATTGCTGATGCTCGTCGCTGAGAAACAATCTTCTCGCTCCTTTGGAAGATGTGCCATTATGTACTCTAGGAGGCGGGGCTTAGCACGAAAACAGCTGACGCATTTCACTTATGACATTTGCGACAGTTTTTCGGGCTCCCACGGGCCAATACTGTGTCAGATTGGTATGTACTGCATGCAGATTTCTCTCATGAAAGTGAGTTATTAACGAGCGCGTAATTGGATGTGTCTTCGGCAGTATGATGGGGTGGCGAGCTTCGAATTTAAGCGGCGAGTTCCCCAAACGGCCACCGACGCGCAAAAGTCCAGACTTGACCAGGAACGGCGAAAGCGAAGCAAGGTTGCTAGATGGCTATACCTGCCGCCTTGACTGCACTGCCTTAAAATCATCCCACAAATGCGATCTCTGGACGACTCTAAGCAACAGCTGAGTACCATTTCGAATGTCAAAGGCAGAGAGACCAATTGATTTTATACGATGTACAAATTTGTATATATATGCGTAGATCCGGTCCATGAACCTTTTCGCAGAAATTCTGGCCCATGAAACCAAAGCTCAAAATCGATAAGCTCGCCAGGTAACGCTCCTCTAGGATTCAGCGAAGTGCATGCCCTCTGGGTGCTGCTAAATAGACGCCACGCTTTTTGCTGATCCATGACAATAGAATTGGCGCGAGAATAGCTCCATTTTCGCCAGATCGCTCATCAGGTGTGCCAAAAGTGCAGCGCCGCATAGCTCTAGTTTGGGAACCGTCAGTGTCTTCAATGGAGCCATTCAAGACTTCGCGAAAAGTAGCTGGGAGCAGGATCTGTCACTCGCCTTTGAAACATAAGCATCGATACTGACGTCCGAGAAACCATGAACTTTTAGTTGAGCCTCTAGAGGGTATATCGGCAGGATTCAGCGAAGTGCATGCCCTCTGGGTTCTGCTAAATAGACGCAACGCTTTTTGCTGATCCATGACAATAAAATTGGCACGAGAATAGCTCCATTTTCGCCAGATCGCTCATCAGGTGTGCCAAAAGTGCAGCGCCGCATAGCTCTAGTTTGGGAACCGTCAGTGTCTTCAATGGAGCCATTCAAGACTTCGCAAAAAGTAGCTGGGAGCAGGATCTGTCACTCGCCTTTGAAACATAAGCATCGATACTGACGTCCGAGAAACCACGAACTTCTAGTTGAGCCTCTGGTAGTGAAGCCAAACGTGGAAATGCAGCGCCGTGCATACTCTCAAGATGATCGCACAAGCTAAGCCACTTTGAGTTTAATGATGATAGGAAGCTCACATCCCAGTCCAGTTTTTCTCTCCAAAGTTCCTGTATAAAGATTTTGGCTTTAGTTCTGACTGGCCCATAAGACCAAGTGGATCGTAGAAACGAGCTATTGTTGAGTGGGCGAGAAAGAAAATAGTAAAATGTCTGATAAGGGATCCCAAGAAGAGAATCTGGACTAACGAGTGACATATGGCTTGAATCCAGATATTCTCTGATGAACGCCGCATACTGGACTTTCGTCTGCGGACGACGTTCCAATTTGCGCTCCAAGTTTAAAAAACGACGACGTGCCTGTAGATAGGAATATCCTAAAAAATCCAGACTTAGTTCGAGAGGCAAACGCACAGTTCCCCTTATAATGCGACTCGCAAGCAAGCTCCTCCTTGGTGCGCTTGATTTGCGAGGTGGAATAATTTTTTATTTCCCAAAACTGACGAACAAGACTATCAATGCTGGCAATTGTTTCTGCTTCTATACTCTGAGAAGAATGCAAAGAAAATTATGTGGACGAATGTGGGTTTCTGCAACTACCAGAAAAAACCCAGCCGAGGCGAGTCTTCTGCAAGACTGGTAGATCCGGGAACATTTTAATTTGGCCAATACAAAGCAATTCGAAGAAGATGCTTGAGCCAATCAATAAATCGATGAGCCGCGATTTAAAGAAATCAGGATCAACCAATTGCAGATTCGATTTGGTATGCGCCAGGCTGACGCATCGAATGTGAAGCTTGGCTGGCAATCAGTGATCTCAGATGCAACCAGCGCAGTGATATTTGTAGAATACTCCGAGACTCGTGAATGCATATTAAGGTTGACTTCAAAGCCATCCGTGGCGAAACTGGAATGTCCAATTCCAGAGATATGTGCGATGGACCTTGACTTTCTCAAATTAAGTTGATTTGCGAAAAGTGATGTGATGATGTGCGGATGCGACCCGGAGTCGAGCAGTGCATGACATGGCACCAATAATCTGTAGCGCTGTGAGCAGATGTGGATGGCATTGGATCAGACATATGAACAGCTGGGGCGGTAACCTGAGCATTTGATGTGATCGAGCCAGAGCTTCCGATATGCAACAGGGTGTGATGCATTGAAGAACATGTACGGCAACTGGAAGCAGTGCACGTTCTACACTGATGCCCCTTCCTTAAGCAATTAAGGCAGAGTGTAAGCATTTTTTCATCTTT